CGTGTGTAGTGGGCGTGAGTGTATGACATCACCTGATCCACTCCAGCTGATCGTCATTCATCACCAGCTGCAATCAATCTCACAACTCCTTAAATACTTACCGCTGTTCTATCATCCCTGTCAGATCGTTGTTTGATGTCCTGCGTGTTGGTGTTCTGGTGTTCTGTTCCTGCTTCGTGTTCCTGTTCCTCGTCGTTCGCATCTGGGTCTCCTGTCTTCTCACCGTCACCTCTGCACAGCACCTCATCACGGATCCTGGCCATCGAAGTCCCTGCGTCACTGTGTTCCACCTGCTTGTACTGTTCTCATCTTATCACTCATAAAATCTGTTAACTTGCGATTGTTTCCTGTCCTTCATACAGACATTATGACAGTAGTTGCTAAGTTACTTATAGTTAGTAGAGTGTCTGTTCGGGGACCAACAAAATAAAGTGTTAGCAGATATTAAGCAGACAGTCTACTGATAATCTAATGACAGTTAGTTGACATGTAGCTTCTAAGTTACTTATAGTTAGTATAATGTCTAAAGTGGACTATCGAAATAAAGTGTTACCGTGATGTGATATTGTCTCATGTTTATCAGAATAAAAACAAAGACCCCACTTCATTGATAGTATAGGCTTTTTTAAACTTTATTTTTGATCACCGCGAGATGCATGCCGGTTAGAAATGTGTCCAAGTGTGGTCCGACTTGCTCTGATGTCATGCTGACTTGTGTCAAAAAACACAGTTTCTCTCCACCGACTGCGCTGATCAAAAGCATGATGGGTAACGACTTGATGGGAAACGACAGCTTAATGCTCATTAGTTCAAACAACCGTGATGTATTGATCTCTTCTAAAATGTTTGATTTTAAGACTCTGATATCATGTTTTTATGTTTATAGATTATGTGGGATTATTCCCAAACTCTCTGACAGCACAATCTCTCTATGGGTTATGTGATTGTTGTCATATTTCTAAAAAATATATAAAAAAATATATATATAAGTTGTAAATTAAGTTCTGTTGCTTTTATGTAAAAATAAATATGATGAACAAGACACCCAAAAGGACTGTTATTTATTTCCATTCGAAAGACGTGTTTATAAATCATTTTTACTTTAATACATCCAGTTTATTAGCAACACCGTACATGAGTGTAAATCCCACAATAGCCACCATTAATCTCGTAGATGTCTGATCCACTACGAGGAGAGAGAACTGTCCGGCTTGCTTGCAGTTTTTTCACTAGTCCGTCCCCTCACTGACGTTTCTAGTTAACTCATTTATTCATTTAACATTAACTTTTTAAGCGGACTCAAACAGAAAATGTTCACAGTAACAATATGCTCACATTACTAACACCGTATAAATGTTAAATGGCAATTGACCAATTTAAGACAATCAGTTTCCTCAAATAAAGTTAAATCAGGTTTTAATTCAGTGTGGGTATTATCACAGTAATATACTGTAAAGTAGATTACGGTAAAGAACTGTACATTGCTCTTGTTTGGATGTTTTTAAAGGTGTGTTGTGTTTTAACAGCATAATTGTAGTTGATCATTTTTGGTACTCTTGTAAATTTACAGGTTTACTGGCAACCAATATTGCCAGTAAGTTACTATACATCTTACAGTAAATGTTTTACCGTGTGCGCCAGGTGTCCCAGAGCTGTTGGGCCATCACGAAGGGCCGGCCACTCTCACTCCTCTCCACGGGTCGGAGCCGCTGGCGATGATGCTCAGGGTTGTGGCCGACCTGCTGCAGGATGGCCCGTTTCAGGTCGTCGTAAACCAGGAGGTTCTGGACGGCAGTTGCATTGATATTTGTGCCTCCCCGAAAAGCAGTGTGATGAGGTGCATCGTCCAGTGGGCAAGCGACCACTCACATGCCTCAGCAGTCTTCTCGAAGAGGTCCACGAAGGCCACTGGATTCACAAACAAATGTAAAGAGATTCACAAAAATGCATCAAATTCACAACTAAATAGATTAAGATCCACAAATAAATGTAAAGAGTTTCAAAACAATTTATAAAACTCAGAAATAAATCAAATGAGATTTGCAAATAAATAAAAATATTACAAATGTGTTTTACACTCACCTAAAGGATTATTAGGAACACCTGTTCAATTTCTCATTAATGCAATTATCTAATCAACCAATCACATGGCAGTTGCTTCAATGCATTTAGGGGTGTGGTCCTGGTCAAGACAATCTCCTGAACTCCAAACTGAATGTCAGAATGGGAAAGAAAGGTGATTTAAGCAATTTTGAGCATGGCATGGTTGTTGGTGCCAGACGGGCCGGTCTGAGTATTTCACAATCTGCTCAGTTACTGGGATTTTCACGCACAACCATTTCTAGGGTTTACAAAGAATGGTGTGAAAAGGGAAAAACATCCAGTATGCGGCAGTCCTGTGGGCGAAAATGCCTTGTTGATGCCAGAGGTCAGAGGAGAATGGGCCGACTGATTCAAGCTGATAGAAGAGCAACTTTGACTGAAAAAACCACTCGTTACAACCGAGGTATGCAGCAAAGCATTTGTGAAGCCACAACACGCACAACCTTGAGGCGGATGGGCTACAACAGCAGAAGACCCCACCGGGTACCACTCATCTCCACTACAAATAGGAAAAAGAGGCTACAATTTGCAAGAGCTCACCAAAATTGGACAGTTGAAGACTGGAAAAATGTTGCCTGGTCTGATGAGTCTCGATTTCTGTTGAGACATTCAGATGTTAGAGTCAGAATTTGGCATAAACAGAATGAGAACATGGATCCATCATGCCTTGTTACCACTGTGCAGGCTGGTGGTGGTGGTGTAATGGTGTGGGGGATGTTTTCTTGGCACACTTTAGGCCCCTTAGTGCCAATTGGGCATCGTTTAAATGCCACGGCCTACCTGAGCATTGTTTCTGACCATGTCCATCCCTTTATGGCCACCATGTACCCATCCTCTGATGGCTACTTCCAGCAGGATAATGCACCATGTCACAAAGCTCGAATCATTTCAAATTGGTTTCTTGAACATGACAATGAGTTCACTGTACTAAAATGGCCCTCACAGTCACCAGATCTCAACCCAATAGAGCATCTTTGGGATGTGGTGGAACGGGAGATTCATGCCCTGGATGTGCATCCCACAAATCTCCATCAACTGCAAGATACGAGTTAACAAGTTAATTAAGTGAATAACTGAGTGATGATTGAGCATTATTGAAGACACCTGATGTTAACAACTCATGTACAGCAACCAAACAAAACCTAAAGTTAATAAGTTAATGGTCAAGAGCCCAACTAAAACACACACTTATCTCCATAATGGTGACTTAAACATTCCGGTTTTCTCCTTCAGAGATTCTGCTTGTTAACATCAGGTGTCTTCAATAATGCTCAATCATCACTCAGTTATTCACTTAATTAACTCGTTAGCTCAGAGTTTAATTGGGTCGCTTAAAATGACCAAATTCCATGATGTTGAAGTTACATGAACATATTATGTTTGTTTAACGAAACATAGTTATGTGGAACCGGTAGAACCTGTTTACATAAAAAAGTTAAGTAAAGCCAACATATCATTTTTTTGAGTGCAATATGGGCCAACATTTCTAAAGAATGCGTTCAGCACCTCGTTGAATCAATGCCACGTAGAATTAAGGCAGTTCTGAAGGCGAAAGGGGGTCAAACACAGTATTAGTATGGTGTTCCTAATAATCCTTTAGGTGAGTGTATATCACAAACACAACTCTGCCTGGCATTTATTTGTGATCCGCTTTCTGTGCATTTGTAAATCGCTGCACACATTTGTGAATCGCTTCTTGTGCATTTGTAAATCCCCTCAAGCTTCTGTGGATTTTGAAACACTTCTAGCATCGAAGTGCAGAAAAAAACACAAATCCACCCACCGTTTACTCAAGCCAATCAGATAACGACCACATTGAGCTGACCAATCGTAGGACGTTCTTGCTACAACCATGGGACCCGGGTGGAGGGGTTACATAAGGATTTACACTCTGGGCGGTAACTGAATCTGATTCATTTTGAAGATATTTGCACCCTTGAAATGTAGCTATAATCTATGCCTGGGTGCTTAGATGCAAATTGAGCTGTTTGTGTGGTTAAAACACTGTGTTTCCAAAAGATTGTTGGAGTTTAAGGCTTATTTATATTTCCATCAGGATAAACTCAGGATTACACACAAATTATGATCATTACAGATCCCGAGCATCATATAACACCCTCTACACCGGACTCAAGCGGTGCGACACAGCGCGTCAAAAGCAAATAGCCCATTATCTTCCCTGCTGCCGTAGCAGTTTCAAATAATGTAAAACTAACATGTTTGAAATGTTAACACATTTTGTCCATGACGTCTGTTATCTTACCTGCAGATATATGACGTGTCAATAATCTTCCTTATTGACTAGTGCTGGCTACATTAAAATTCATATTTCGTGATAATGTCTACACTGGACGCGGCGCAGCGCGACACGATGATTCATTGATAGTAAACGGATGCCCGTTCTTCTTCTGAAGTAACTGAAAATAATGAGTACTGAAATGAGAGACAGAACTTTACCTTCTTACACTTGACGTTTACAACTTCCTCTTGCTGACTCCGCTGAACCAACCCCCCTCGCCACAAACACTATTAAACGCTTAAGTCAGTTAAAGCTTTAAACATTGTGTTTCTGAGAAACTGTAAAAATGAGCCTTTGAAATCATAGAATTGTCTGTGAAAATACCTGTAAAATAACACTTGATAATGAGTTTTATCTGCAGGTGTCTGTGTGTACATGTGAAGCACGTGTGAAGTATTAGTTTCTCCTCTCTCTTTATTAATCTCTCCCCCCCCCTCTCTCTCCTTCCTCTCTCTCTCTCTCTCTCTCTATCTCTATCTATCTCTCCCCCAACCTCTCCCCCCCCCCCCCTCTCTCTCTATCTCTATCTCCATCTCTATCTCTCTCAGGGGAAGTGGGCGTCTCTGAAACATTCAGCTCTTCATGTTAAACATGTAACCAGGAAAGAAACACTCAAACTCATCTGAACACACACCGAGAGCTTCAGAAGAACTGAATCTACTAACAACAGAGAAGATCATTTAATAAGAGAGAAGAATGAAGATCATCTGGACTTTCACTCTGATGATGATTCCTGGTAAGAGTCTGAACTCAGAGTACATCATGGAAAACACCACAGATTTGATCTTTTACTTCAGTTACTTCAGACTCTTGAAGAAAGTTAATTTCTGTGTATATTAAAGTATTTAATGCTGGTGTGTTGTAGGTGTCGTGAGCTCCATCAGTGTAACAGGATATTCAGGAGGCGGAGTCAACATCACATGCAAATATGATAAAGGATATACAAAGAATAAAAAGTATTTTTGTAAAGGAGAGTGGTCAGACTGCAAAGACCAAATCAAGACTGATATTAAAGATAAATGGTTTAATTCTGGAAGATTCTCTCTGTATGACAACACAAGATCAGCAGTCTTCACTGTGACCATCAGAGGACTGAGAGAAGAGGATTCTGGGAAATACCACTGTGCAACTGATATATATGCAAAAAAAGATCCCCACACTGAAGTGAATCTGAAGGTTTTAACAGGTGAGAAACTGAGATCCTCAAACTCATGAAGATCTCCACAACATCACGATACTCAACACTGACTGTAATCACTGACGTTCACATGTTAACTCATAAAAGACGCCATCAATAACCTTTTTATCTCCTGATGTAAGATTTACTCATAATCTAGACTTGCATTCATAAATGTTGCAGCAAAGTGAAAGATATGTGTTTACATTGAAAACAAAATGACAAATTTTTTATTTTTTTTGTGACTGTTTTATTCTTCTTGTCATTCTATAAAGGTGACCACACTAATTCTGTTATACAGTTATAGTTATTTGTTCATTTCACATTCATATACTCATTACTGTTCTACATGAAAGCAAGACCTGCAGATCTGGATGTAGTTTAAAAGCAAGTTTTTAGTTCTCTGTGTGTGTGTTAATCTCGTATTACTGCAGTCTTGGATGTTGCAGCATTAGTGGTAACTTAGTATTACATTTGTTAACATTAGTACAGGTGTGGTCATCTGGATGCTGTAGAAGTGCAGGTTTTAGTACTTCTGTGAGAAACTGCACTGCTGTGAGTCCCTTTACCACACTTGTACTATAGTAAACTGCAGTGTAATGTTGTTCATCAGTGACTCTGCTGTACTGTATTATTCAGTGTGAAACCACAGGCTTCAGTTCTGGAAACTCAAACTAACAGCTTGTCACATTCTTCACATCAGCGTGTCAGCAAACATGAATTCTGGGTAGTGAATGTGTGAAAGACATAAGTAACAAGAATCATAAGAAAAGCGATGTCATGTTCTGTGTGTGAAAAAAGCATCCTTTACAATTTATATATATATATATATATAAATGTTTCCAGGAACAACACCACCACCACCATCATCATCAACAACAACATCCTCATCATCATCACCACAATCTTCGTCATCATCATCATCATCATCATCATCATCATCATCATCATCATCATCATCAGCTTCTTCTTCCTCATCAGTCAAAACTTCACCGTTCACAGGCGTTTCCAGACCTTCTACATCACTGGCGTCTCTAAACACATCATCAGGTGATCTTGTGCTGAAAAACAAACATGTGATCAATGGGTGAAGTTTGCGAGGAGGCTGAAATATAAAACTAAGCTTGCCTATATTTTCAACTCTAAAATAATAATAATAATATTTCATTTAATACATTTTAAATAGTTAATATGTAAAAAAAAAATAAAAAATAACCCAATCATTCTAGTTAGCCTGAATCTGCATTTTGGTGCTTTGTAGCCTATCAAGAAAACAGCAAACCACTGTGTCCAGGAGTCTATAGAGACTCTTATCTACTCTTATAAGAGTAGGGGGACATCTGAAACTGCTTGTTTGGAGAGATTGTTTATGATTTTATGATTTATGAATTGCATATTTTGTGTTTTGATATTTGGGATATGGTCATTGGGATACTTTTTGGGCTATTTTGGGCTTTTTTTGTAACACAGACCTGGCAACCCTGAAATCCAGTATCATGATCTGGTCAATCCTACTCCAAACGTCCCATGATCTGATCTGATATTTAGCTCAGATGATCAGATTCTCAGATTATTTCTCCTGTGTTTTCAGGCTCTTCTCTGATCGTTCCTCTGGTTCTGGTTCTTCTGGTTCTGATTGTCGCTGGACTCTTATTACTGTTTCTCTGTAAGAAGCGTCACTCTCCAGGTAAAACTCATAACTTCTTTAGTAGCAGAAACTCTTTATTTATACTGAGATTAAAACATATTGATTTCTTGATCTGTTTTTCCACTTTCCGTCGCCACTTATTGGCTGCAACGAGTAATGAGCAACAGACAGATATTTGATGTGTGAAAACATTTACACAAGGCATAATTGTTGAAATGTGATATACAGTAATGTCGTTAATTTAGGACACTTGTTTTTGGCAGGTGGTGATTTGTCGTCTCAGACTGGACCAGGAAACCATGAAGTTGTGAGTCCAGTTACTGTATATTTTTAATCATGTTGAGACTAATGTCTAATGCCTTTCATCCTGACGATCTTCAGAGCTGTAAATAATTTCTCTGACTCTCCTCAGGTTTCTCACACTGGTTGTGATTATGAGGAGATTAAAGACACTCACAAACAATTACCACAAACCCTTCTGATTCTTCTGACACTGTTTATGCCAATGCCCAATAACCCACAAGCCCCTCTGAATTCTTCTGACACTGTTAATGTAACGGAGTCACCAGATCAGCACACTCCGCGCTCTCGTTCACTTTCCCCGGACTTTAGATTCACCGCACCAGCACATCCATCCCCCTCACTATAAAGAGACACTTCCCCTTCACTTCCTTGTCTGGTCTCGTCCTTACGTTACCACACAGACTCTCCACAATCCTTACCTGAATACTTACCAAGAAGATCCCGTTCCTGTTCCTCTCCGACCATCATATCCTGCTGCTTCTTCATCCGCCATCTGTCATCTGCATGCTGTATCCGCAGCCCGTATCTATAACAGAGATATCAGGTTAACCATCAAGCTAAGTTCCACATCCAGTTCTGATTCTTCATATATCTACTCACCGATCATCACAACAGTTCACATCAATGCCTCTGTTCAATAAACACTGTTTACATCACTACTCACCTGTCTGCTTCTCTCTATAACCGTGACAGTTTATGCCACTTATCTAACAAGTAGAATTAGGTACTGTTCCTTTAAGGTGGAACACACTCTGTTACTCCCTCACTGATGAGTGGCTGTCGGTATGAGGAGCTCGAGCTGTGAACATCACATGTATGCATGTAAAGCCTGTTTTATATTTATATTGCTCTTACCCTGTTTTATTTCGAATCAGTAACGCAGTTGTTAGTGAAGTGTTTTGAAAACTGCCCCATGTGTGCGTGCGATTGACAACACTGATAATAAATAACCACTGTGGAATATCAGATACGTGAGTCTTTGTTAACACTTGGCTACTACCATTCAGGCAAGCTATCTGGCCCCTCTGGTTAAAGCGTTACACACTGCACAATTACCCACAAGCCCCTCTGTTTCTTCTAACTGTGCCACTAGTGACTCTCAGTGCTGCATTACCAGGCGAGGATTAACCCTCTGGGGTCGGGGTGAGCTCGAATTTTTTCACATAGCATAAAAATAGACTTAAAATACTCTATCATTTCTGGTCATACAGACTTAATAAATAAACTGTTAAATGTCTATTTTTTATGTGTCCACTTACAATCGAAACAAAACATTGTACTTTTGTAAAATAAAGAAAATAAACAGGGTGTGTTTTCTGTCTCTCCGTCTCAGTGAACTTTTTTTCTTGAGCACGTCTCTAAACTGAAACAAAACTCAGCGAATACTATTCACCCAGTCATGAGATACATATCTTTATAATCATTTAAGTTTGTACCTTTAAACGACCTGATTCAAAACGAAAACAAATTTCCTCTGTTTAAGTAATTTGTATAAAACCAACAAGATGCCCAGTTTCTCAAACGCATGCTCATTATTTTTAATTTGACCACGCCCACGCCCGCAAAAGAGATTGACATGCAAATCTCCACGAAGGAACGCAAACGCGCTCATTACCTAAAAAACAAAGCACCAAACTTCATCAGTCCTCTGCTTTTCGTCAAGTTCGGAAGACACGCAGTGAGTTTACATTGGATTTACCTCAGAAGAAGAAGAACGTGATTTGAAGACAAGAAAGATGTAAGGTAAGAAATGTATTATGAATTAGGCCTATATTAGTTAGTGTTATTGTTGCATAAACTTAACATTCCAGTTGAACTTTTGCTAGACTAAAATGTATGAAATCGACAGAAACATGTTGAAATATGAACTATAGCCTAGACAGGCAGGAAATGTATATACATGTACGACACGGGGATGTTTTTATGTTTGATAATAAAACACAGCATGATGTTAGGCTAGTATCAGTGTTTACTCTAATATGGTGAATATTAAAATGTTTAGAACCATGTTTAGCTACTGTTAAATACTGTGTTTGTAATGAATGGAAACATTTGAAGTAAACGTATCCATATATTTTTCTCTAGTGTACTGAAGTGTTCCTTTTTAACGATTTATAGGCCGCATGCTATAGGCTATTGTTATTGCTATTGTTATTTGGAATTAAAATCGCCCCACATCATCACATACCCTTCACCATACCTAGAGATTAGCATGGGGTACTTTCCATAAGATCATCTCTCAATGCAAATCAAACCAGCTATTAGGCTAACGTAGACTAACCATGTTCCGTACACAACGATATTCCGTACAGATGACCTTTTCCAGACGATCGCTGAATAAATACGTCCAGGTTATACATAAACTATATATGTGTGTTATCATAATTTCTCCCTCTTTTATCCCCGACCAAGAAAGAGAACCCCCCGCCGTTTGTTTCAAAAAGATTTCAGTAAGTTTGCTAGGTGCGCCCACTGCGCCTGCAAATGGAGGGTGGCAGCCCAGATATAAGCTTTAGGTGGGGAGACGTTCTACAGCGGTGAAAATGTACATTTCAATTGGATCAATGCTTCTCACAGTACTATAGTCTTCATGAAATTATTATTATGTTATCACAAATCATTAAATATATTACCTTTTGTTGAATAAAGAGCAAATCCAGGGCAGAAGAATAAACGTAGAAAACTCAGAAGATTGCAGACACATTAAACTTGAACTCAAGCACGAATTCCTAAATGCTCTCATAGACAGTGGCGGATTTAGCAAATTGGGGGCCCAAGGCGAAGGTAGTTTGGGGCCCCCCATCCGATCTTTAAAAGAGAATTCAGATTTTTTTTTTTTAAATAAACTATTACATGCACTTTCTGGAGAGTTTTGTGCAAAGAAATATAGAAAAAAAAAGTAGGTCTTGCAAGTCTTATATTTCTGTAATTCACAGAGATCAAACACAAATATGCTGACTGAATAGATTGCTAGTTGAGAAACACTGCTTTAATTAATGTTTTTATGATGACTTGAAAGGTTAACTAAACAGCATGAGCCGTCTTCCTGCTGGCCAGTAAGTTATTTGGCAAATTTCATTCATACAGATCTGTATTATGCTATAGTTTTTGATAGTCTTATACATTTCTTACAGATAATCACGATGATCATTGCGTTTGTCTTACCGAATGTGGTAGCTTTATGCAATTACAGTTTGTCTATAAGCTTTTTTTTTATTAATGCCGACAGTAAAATGTTGCCAGATATTGCTACGAAAAACAAGAAAAACAAAACAAATTAATAATAATAATCCGAAATAAGTTCAAAGCTTGTGTTTAGTTTTGGAAAAAAGATTAATATATCACTAACAACCCTAACATGCAACTTTCCACCTTAATAATTTCCTAAAGTGTCACATTAAATCAGAAAAACCGGTCCAGAAGACTACTGCCACCTTTTCATTAGGTGGATCTGGCAACACTGGATCTGGCACCCGCGCACGCCCTCACTCACAGCGCGCTCTCAAGCCCCGTTCACTGCGCTAGCTTCTCGCAGCAACATGCATTGCAAACACTCATATGAGGTGGTTTAAACGGCTAATTAATCATTCAGAGAGTTTGACATTTTATTTTTGAATGTAAAATATGACAGAGTTCCGGACCTCAGTCACCTCATAGCTTGCTACGGCCATGGACTTGTAACATATCGTTAGCACGTACCGGGCATCACAAAAAAGTTTGTTACCTTCTGCAATTTTGCTAAAAACGTTTTGCTTTCCTCCCGCTTCCTGCTTTTTCAGCACCGCTTGGGTAGCTTCTCTGTCTGTCACTCTGTAGCCTACACTGTCTGTCAATAACTTTTCTCCATCAGTTTTTTTGGCGCATTAGCCTTTCTTTCGCACGCAGAAAGTGAGATAATGGAATAGTCCAATGTAGTGAGGTGGGGGGCCCCCTCCTGTCTGCGACACTAATGATTTGATGCCTTTTTTCGCAAATGTTTTTTAGAAATATATAATTTGCGAAAAGTAAAAAATAAATAAAAACTTATAAAAAGCATAATTTAATGAGGCATTTTGGGGGCCCCTAGGTAGCTCGGGGCCCAAGGCAATTGCCGACCTTTGCCTAATGGTTAAGTCCGCCCCTGCTCATAGACAGTCCTTATGATATCACTCAGATGAGCATGGGATGTTCTCACTGACAGTCCTCGGGATATCACTCATGGATGCACAGGGAATTCTCATACAGACAGTCCTTGAATTAACGCTCACGGATGCACAGGGAATTCTCATACAGACAGTTCATGAATTAACACTCACGTCAGTCACTGGAGAAGAGGAGTCGATCCAGTATTTCCATTCATAGAAGACTCTTGAATAAACAATCACGTAAGAACATAGGAATCACCTCGAGCGTAGAGACGTAGAAACACTCCGAGGCTCACTATCACACGGATAGCCAACACGGGAATATCCCCGTTAGAAATGACGATCTCTCACTTAGACACTGGAGTCACCCCGAGTGAGGGAACACAAAGCCACTCGCCGATAACCTCTGGAGCCAGTGTTTCAGAACACAGTAGTAGCATGTGGAAACAGAAACATGAAGTAACGTATAATACCCGGCAGTGAGACAATGGGAGTGAGGAGGTTATAAAGGATCAGCATAGCGAGATCATGAGGTGAAAGGGAACAGCTGCGGTGATGAGGGAAGTGAGTGCAGGTGCGGGGATCCAGGGGGAATGCTGGGAAATGTAGTGTGGGACAGGACCAGGGAAAACCGTGACAATAACTGCTTTGAAATGGGAATTTTTAAACGTCAATTCTGGACAATGGCCGCTTGGCGCCACTCTCGCACTGAGACCGGCAGCAGAGACGCCTGCATGCAGTGATTATATTTATATATAATATATATATATAATATATATTTATGCAGTTGAAATCAAGGTGCGCTCTGTACGGAACACCGTTGGCAGCCTGTACGGAATACCATTAACGTCTATGAGCACACGAACCCAGGCGGAGGAGG